GGCAGACTCCTTAAATAGGTAATATAGAAAGTTATATGAGTGGCCAATTGTATGCTCTTCCTGTAGTAGCTCCTTACAGAACTATATTTCTAAAAATATGTTAATAAAGTCAAAAGACCAAAGAGATCACCTTAACATCAAAAAAAAAAAATTTAATTAAATATAATTATTATATATTAATACATATAGGCTAGGTGCTAGAAAAAGAGACCAATTTGATAATTTTTTCAAAATGATTATTTTAAGCTTAACTAATTTCAAATTAGCTTAGGATATTTTCTACTTAAGAAAGAAATGCTATTGTATTAATAAAATTTTATAATATAATCTTTTTAAATCTGTATTTTTCTATAAATTAATATAGATTTTATAATATAAAAATCAAATTTCTGCAAAATTTATTTTTAGTCAATTTGGTTCCTTTTTCTAGCACCTAGCCCATATTATATTAATTTGCAAAATATATTAATATTGTTGATTGTATAAATTTTTGTTATGTTTTTTTTATTATACTTTTTTTATAATTGTAACAAACTTTTGGAAAAAACTGTATATACATATAATTTGTACAAAGTAAGTATACAACTAGTTATATATACAACTTTTGGCCATCTATTTAAGCAGTTTACCTAAAGGTTCTATACTAGTTGTTATATCTGTAATTTATTAGAAGATTGTTTATTTAAACACTTTAATCTCTGTACTGTATCAGGTAAATAGTTATCTGGTTTTTATATAACTAAGTGTCATCTACTCTAACATTAAGCCTTTTCTTATATATATTTGTTAGACTATTATATATTCTAAAGCATATTATCTAACTGTAAGACCCCAAGATGCTTTCTTATTAACTACTTATTACTTTATAAAACATTAACAAAGCTAGTTTTTGTAAAGTTTATTTGAACTTTAGTACTTATTTTATAATATATTTCTAGTATTTTTAGTTTATCTTTGCTTTATTCTCAGACTTCTAATTCAGATAGTTTAATAAAACTGTAACCTATTTTTGATATATTAAGTCAGCCTAATATCTTTTTTTTTAATTTGATTTTGATAACCTAGTTGGTAGTACTTCTTATCTTAAGGTTCTTGCTTGTTTAGTTTTTTTATATTAGTATTCATTTTCTAAATTTAGTCTTTATAATGATATTATTAAAAATCTGTATTATCTTTTTACTTAAGTCTTTTTAAATAGGTTTTAGATTTTCTTAGTTTTATAAATTTATATAACTACAAGAACTTATTTTGAGTTGGTATCATCTAATATCAGTTAACATTTCTCTATATAATATTAGTTACACAAATGCTTTATAACCTGCTAGTCATGCTAGTGCAACAATAGTTATAGGTATCTTATTCCAACTAATCAACAGAAAGGCTATTGCTATAATATATAAGTATTATATAAATGTTTATTTAAATTTTTATAATTGATGAATTTTGAACCCTTAATCTACTATTTAAAAAGTTAAAAACTTATCTATTTTACTAAGTTGTTATATTTTATTCTAATTCTAACTTTAATTCTAATCTTAAATAAATTTAAATTAGTTAAAATAGTTGGTTATTTTTTTTGCTTTTGCTAAGACTGTTTGTTATTGATAGCTACTGCTTTTATTATATTTTAATTATAATTATATAACTTGTACAAGGTAAATATGTAACTAGCTATATATGCAACTTTTGGTTATCTACTTAAATAGTTTGCTTACAGGTTTTATACTAGCTGCTATATCTGTAATTTGCTAAAAGATTACTTAACTAAATACTTTAATTTTTATATTATATCTGACAGATAGCATACAAGTTTTTGTATATTTAAGTACTATCTAACTTAATATTAATCTTTCTTTCTGTATGTCTGTTAAGCTATTACATATTTCAGAATATGTTACCTAATTGTAAAACTTTGAGAGCCCTACTGTTAACTAGTTTTATTCACTTTTTATAGAATATTAATAGAATTTATTCTTGTAAAGTTTACTCAAACCTTAGTATTAATTTTACAATATATTCTTAGTATTTATAATATACTTTTACTTTGTTATTTCATTTTTAATCCAAATAGTTCAGTAAAACTATAATATGTTTTTAGTATATTAAGTTTGGTCTAATATTCTTTTTCTTTAGTTTAAGATTTTTAGCAGTTTAACTAATAGTATTTCTTATTTAAGGTTCTTGCTTGTTTGATTTCTTCATATTGATATCTATTTTTTAGATCTAGGCTTTATAGTAATATTATTAAAGATCTATGTTACCTTTTTACTTCGATTTTTTCAAATATGTTTTAGTTTTTCTAGTTCTATAAATTTATATAGCTACAAGAACTTATTTTGAATTTGTATCACTTAATACTAGTTTGTATTTCTCTGTAATCAAGATTATACAAATGCTTCTTAATTCGCAAATTATACTTGTATAATCATAGTTATAGATATTTTATCTTAACTGATTAACAGAATATTATTAGCATAATATAAATATATTTTTTCAAATTTCATCTTTAGTACATTTTGAACTTACAACCTGCCACTTAGAGAGTTAACAAGTTATTCATTTCACTAAGTTACTACATTTCAAATAGTTAGTTATTTATATTATAATTTTATAATAATTATATTTGCTTACTTATATTATAGTTTAATTATTTTGAATACTAATAATTTTTATTTAAACATTTAATTAGTATTATAATTTTTTTATCCTTTTTTATATTTATATATTTGACTTTATTTTGATTTTAAATTTTTTTTAAAAATCTTTATTTTATATTATTTTGAAATCTAATATGTTCTTTTTTTTTTATTGTTAAAGTTTATACTTTATAATAATTATTTTATTAATATATTGGAATTAGTATTACAACTATTTTTTAAAAATAAGAGTATAGCTAACTATATATACAACTTTTGGTTGTCTATTTAAGTAATTCATCCTAAAGTTTTATACTAGATGTTATATTTATAATCTACTAAGAAATTATATAAATAATTATCTAAATTTTTATTGTCAATAAGTTTTGAATTCATAACCTACTATTTGAAAAAATTGACAACTTATTTACTTTACTAAGTCACCACATCCTCTAATATGTTTTTAATAAATTTAGTTATTAAATCTTTAATTATTATTTTTTCTAACAAAGTAATACATTTAAATTAAAAATAACATATTTACTGTATATTTTATATAACTATCTAATTTACTTTTCTTTTTTGTTAATCTATCTGCCTTATTGTTCTATATGCTATCATTATGTTTCTTGACTTTCACCAAGTCAAATCTTATTTCTTTTAGTTCAAACAATTCTAATATGTTTTTTTCTAAACTATAATTCTTTTTTTTGATCCATTGTTTGCTCATTTTTGATTTTTTCTCTCTATTCATGCCTACTATTGCTGCTACACTATTTGTATAAATTTTGATTTTTTTTTCTTTTTGACACAATTCAGAACATATACCATTTAACTAAAAGTTCTAATTTTATTAATTAATAAAAAAAAGAAAATTATTAATAAAAAATCACGTGAAGTCTTTTATAAAAAAGGTGGTTTATGCGGTATGTTCAATTGATTTTGAAACAATTGGATCATCTAAATGTTATGGCATGTTAACCATGGTGATAGCCTTACATAACGCACACAATTTAATGAATAAAAAACGAATCGTATTACAATTTACAAGAAGCCAAGAAACAGGCAATTATGTATTTTAAATGACATTTATATAATCATTTGACGTTAATGATATAATATATAAAATTTTAGTGTATGGTTGAAATCTACAATATTTTCGAAAATAAGACTTTTTAGCATACCAAATATACTGACAATATCGATCGATATACCCGATTTTCAGTCGTCAAGTTCCAAACCAAACCGTTCATACATTTCTTTTGTTGTTGTACCATCGAGTTCAGCACACTTCATGTACAATTTGTATGTAAAAAAATATGCATATGTGTGTGAAAAACGGATTTGAATGGTTTAATGTCTTCATTACCTTTCCAAATAGCATTTGACCAATATCTTTGATTGCATTATATTCGTGTATAAGACGATAGTGATCATCCAAAGCCTTTTGAATATTCACATTTCCTCTCATAAAACATAATCAAAGATTGAGGTTAGATCAAGTTAGATCGCATTAACCTTGATTGAATCAACTTACTGTAATCGACTTCTTAAACTTTCCTCTTCTGCTCGCAATTTGTCGAATTGCTCTTGAAGTGATTGTAAACGACGCTCAAGAGCCTCCTATACATAAAGTTGTCTATCATATATAGATATATCTATACACATAAAAATGAAAATTGTATGCACACTTTCTTAGAGACCGTGTCTGTGTCTTCTTGTAACGATTTCCGCTATTAATAAATGATATAAGGTTAAAGTGATACCTGAAAATTGCAAGTAATCATGAAATATTCTGTTTTTACTTTTAGTGATGGTAAATTACTATCTGCCATATTGACTAATCGCTAAGCGTAGAGATCTATATAAATCGTGTTTAATTTAATATAACGATAACGCGACTTAAATCAAATTCACGTGCGCGAAGTTGAATCATCGGATGATTTCCGGACCATTGATCTACATCGTACAAACTGTAAAACTCAGAAAATAAGCACCTACTATGAATTAACACCCTCGATACTGCATGAATTAGATAACACACACTACGATGTTAATACACAAATTTGGGATTTGAATCTTATGTTTAAAAAATTCTATAGTTGACCTTATTTTTTCTTTTTGTTTATTAATTTTGTTCAATTATATGTATATGTGATTTTTGACTTTTTAAGAAATACAGTAAATAATAAAATGATATTTGTAAGCTAAAACTCTATATATTAGTTTTTAAATATTGCAAATATTTATTAAGTTATATAAATAAAGTAAAAATATAATGAATTATAATTAATACATTTATAGATTTGAGTCTTGTAGCTTAGCAATTAAACTTTCAAATCCTTACAAACGAAGTCAACAGTTTGAGATAAGTTGAAAACAAAACTAAGGTTTGTTTCTGTAAGCTTAAGAGATCAAATTATTAATTACATAGTTTTATGAAACAAGTTTAAATATATATACAAATTTAGATAAGAGTAATTTTTTATATAACAGTAGTATTACAGAAGGTCTTGGTTATATAAAAATTGTATATATAAGTTTTTAAAACAAAAAAGCAAAGGTTAGTAACTTAGTGAAATAAATAGATTGTCAACTTTTTAAGTGGCAAATTGTAAATTCAAAATTATATTAATAGTAAAAAATTTAGACAATTATTTGTGTAATATATTATATTATAGCAATGGTATTCTGTTAATTAGTTAGAAAAAAATATCTATAATTATACTTGCACCAGTATAATTGATAGCTTACGAGGTATTTGTATAACCTTAGTTATATAGAAAAATACAAACTAGTACTTAATAGTACAAACTTAAGATAAGTTTATATAATTGTTTTTTTTTTTGTAGTTAAACTAGCTTCTTTTGAAGTTAGGGTTTTTTATTTAGTAGTTAAAATATAGGGACTCATGGTCAAGACTTCAAAAGAGTCTCCTTATATTAGAAAGTACAACTAGTCATATATATACTTTTGATGTCTAATTAAGTAGTCTGCTGATGATTCTATACTAGCTGCCATATCTGCAACTCAACTAGAAGTGTTGCCTATTTAAATCTACTATATTGCAATTCTTACTATATCATTAGATCATCTCTACTATGTAAATTAGTTGAGAAGATCTAGATGCTTATCTGTATCCTTAGGAACTCATACCTTATTTTATATAATATATCCTCAAAAGCATTGTTACTAGAGTCTTTTGTGTCCTATATATAGCTAGTTTAGTTTTATGTAACATGCTATAGTTACTAAACACTTGCAGTTAGAGTTAATCTTAAACTGTTATGTTATACTATTTCTATCTTTGTAAAGTTCAACCAAACCCTAATACCTATTTTTTTGACATCTTTTCTATTATTTTCTACTAACTGCAACTCAGAACCAACAAACTTCCTAGATTTCTAATTCAGATGGCCTGGTATAATATACCTTAGTATTTTTTTTTTCTGATAATTCTGATAGCCTAATTGGTCATATGCTTCACTACATATCTTGTTATTCAGTTCATCTATCTGTTTCTATAAAAATGTTTCATAGACATTCATCAGTCTGACAGCACTGTCAAAAGTTTGTGTTATCTCTTTACTTAAGAATTCTAAGTAAGATTTTGTCTTCTTAGTTCCTTAGTCTTTTGTACCTGATGATCTTATTATAAGTTTGCACTGAAGTTTTATACAATACTAGTTATTAATATTTCTCTATATATATGTAATGTTATATTTTACATAGATGCTCCAAGCTCCTAATAACAAGTAGGACCTGATTTGATGTATCTGGATTACAGCTGCATGAGGCCAACTGATCAACAGAAAACAGTTTCTATAATACAGATTAATTTCCAAATTTCATTATAAATAAGATTTGAATTTTAGATCTGCTACTGAAAGAATGACAAACTAACCACTATACTAAAATTGTTATTCTCAGTTTATATAATTATATAAATTTGTAAAATTAAAAAAAACTAAAACTAATTTAGAAAAAATTTCAATAAAAAGATAATATAAATCTTTGATAATATTAATATAAAATCTAAATTTAAAAAACAGATATTATTATAAAAGAAATAAATAACTAAAAAAATTTAAATAAGAGGTATCATTAACTAAACTATTAAATTTAAATTGAAAAAAAAGAATATCAGATCAAACTTAATATATCAAAGGCAGATTATAGTTCTTTTAAGTTATTTAGATTAAAAATTTAAAGACAAAATAAAGAAATATTAAAGTACTAAAAATATGCTATAAAGTAAATACTAAGATACAGATAACCTTTACAAGAACAAGTTTTTATTAATAGTCTATAGACTGAATAAATAGTTAATAAAAAGAATTTTTTAAACTTTATTTACAAGTATTATATTTTAAAATATATAATAGTCTAAGTATTAGTTCAATAAAAGGTATTGTATTACTTAGATAATATATTAATTAAGTATTTATAAAAGTTTTGTAATAATAATATAATTAATAGATAGATGATCAAAGAGTTTAAATAAATAATCTTTTAATATATTATAAATATAGCATTTAGTATAAAATCTTAAAGTGGGGTGTGGCAACCTAGTAAAGTGATCAGATTGTCAACCCCCAAGTGGCAAGTTCAGAGTTCAAATCCCAGTATCAACAGAAAATTTGAAAATTCTCTCTGTGTTACAGTTAACTGTTTCTCGCAATTGGTTGGGATAAGATACCTGTAACCTGTATTATACCAGCATGACTGACAGGTTACATGGTATTTGTGTAACAGTCACATGACATTATTCTTTGGAACAAGGTCTGTAGTTACACAAAGGAATACAAACCAGTACTGGGCAGTGCAAACTTACAATAAGTCCTCGTGGCCGTGTAAATCATAGAAACCAATAGAAAAAGATGGAAGCCCACTTGGAAGACCTGAGTAGAGAGGTAACCCGAACTTTTGACAGTGCTACTGTAAAGACTAGATTTGTGAAACAGAGCTAGAACTTGTGAAACTGGGCAAATATGCTAGTCCTTGGGGAAGAACCAGATGAACCAACCAGGCTGCTGGAATTTTTAAGTTCCAGAGGAAAAGAGTATATGCCGGCAAACATATAAACCAGAGGTATGGTCTCGCCCTACCTTTCTGGGCTAGCTGAAATGGCAG